TCTGGTTTTGCTGCTAGAGACTTTAATTTATACAATTGTTCCTGGTTGATAATTTAGGTTACGTTTGTAATGCTCTTTTCTCTATTTGCAAACAACAAGTGTAAAATACATGATTCCTTTGAGGCTCTAAAACTCAATTCATGTGTACTCTCTGAAAAGGCTTTTAAATGAAATAGGGTGTTTACTATTTTATATCTTTGATTTTTTTCAGTATTTCCACAACTGGACCGGTAATAGGTGGGCTTGTATCTTCCATTCTTGATATAAATATTCTTTATCCATGTAAACTATTTCAGCTTATTTTTGTTTACTTGAGTTTTATGTTAAGCAGTTTCCATTTTTTACAATTCCATTTTTTTTCATATTACTTGACAGTAGTTTCCACATACTGAGTATCAACATTTTGGCAGTTGTACTCTTCTCCCTTCCGTTCCTGACAGGATGCTACTTCCATGGACTTTGCAAATCTAACCTATGGAGTGGACATGACGAAAAACAGATGGACATGTGTCTTGCAGGTCTAAGTTTGATTCTTTTTGTATTTTATGTGTTAGCATATGCTAGGTCTTAGAAATTTCAAACCATTACTTAAAAAAGAACATTCTATATTCATTTTTGGTGCTGTTTCTATGTGGCTGATGAGGTCAATATATTTTTCCCTTGCAGAGAATTGTTGTAGCTTATTTTGTGGCAGCTATTTCAGAAATCTGGCTTAGGTATGACTGCAAGGTTGATTCAGGATTATCTTTATTCAAGAGATACATATACCAATGGTGAGTTCTTGCTCATTCTTTTTCCATAAGTACATCTTCACTATGCTCAAAGATTGGGTAATTGAGATCAGAGGGTGATTTTTGAACCATCTAGCCAGAGTTGATCACTCAACAATATTACTTACACCGTGAGTTTCGCCCATTCATTAAACCAAAGAGTAGCAACAGGATGTCATATGGGACAAAGACAGCTTCATAAGCTATTTTTACTATGATGTCTTAAATCTTAATTATGTTCATCCTTTGCAAAATGATCCTTAAGATCAATGCAATCTGAAAGGCTCTAACCTTTTGAGGTAAGATGACTTAGAAAGTCATTGAATGTGCCTCATACACCCATCTTTACCTCTTCGACTGAAATAGCATTATAGAACCATTTGGTGTTTGTTGTAATTAATATGGTGGTTGTGTGGTTGATTGATTGACATTTGTAATCTTTTCTCCACATTATGTCATTATCCCAACCTTCAACCTCTGTTTATTGCCTCTGTTTGCCTAAATTATGTGCAGAAATTCTAGGGTTGTGAGAAGTCTTCAGCCTGGCTGCTCACCCTCCAACCAGTACCAAGTTGCCCTCATTTGTATGATTGGAATATCATGCGATGTATTCTGCCACCGATTAATGCTTTGAGGGTTTCAATGGAAAATTGCTCTACCACGTGCTACTTTCTGAGAACCCCTCGGTGGCTACCCATAATGTGGATAAAATTCTGGAAATCTGAATAAGGGTTCTCCTGTGAAGTCTGGATGAAATTATGAACTTGAATTTGTGCATCATGTACTGAATCATTATTTACTTTTTCAGAAAATGGCATATATGTTGGGGGATTACCGCCAGATACTATCAAAGATGATCTTGCTGGTGTGATCAAGTTTTTGGGTAGAGTGAAGAATTTTGACGTTGTTGAGGTCATTCGATGTGATGATGTTTACTGGTTTGGATTTGTTCACTTCCAGTCTGCAGATTCTGTGAAGAAGGCAGTTGAGGTTCTAAAGCTAATGGATGTCAAAGATCTCAGACTTTCTCATGTCAAGAGTCATCTCCAGGTACGATTTAAACAAAAAAATACAAAAAAAAACTGCACTCCATATCGCATAATCTCTTCTGGAGGTGGGGTTGGATGGGGTGGGGAGGTCTGGAAGGCAGGCACAGTAGGCGATGAGGCCGGGCAGTAGTGAGTGAATGAAATTAAAGAAGAATACACAGTAAATAAAGTCTGATGACCGAGAAAGGGGGCGAGGGTGTAAGAGACAAAAGTAAGTCATCATTTCTCAATAATACGGAAATGACGAGTTAAATGATTTCAGTCTGAACTGCAAATTTGATACTGAATTGCAAGTATTCTTATGGCACAATTTTCTTTATACTGCTTTCATGTTGTCTACATTGCCTGTTACTCTTTTGTGACGTTTGTTGGTGTAACACGCATGGCTTGCTTTTATGTTTCTTACTTACTTCAGTTGTCCCTTTCGCAAATTGATTTAGGATTCCTTTCGTTCCCAAATTTTGTACCTCCCATTGGGCATGACAACCGCGCATTGCGCGGGCCACCGCTAGTATACCTATAAATGCCTTCGAGAGGCCGAGAGAAAGAGGAATGTTGGGCTAATTTAAAACAATATGGCCCGGTTAAAAAAATTACAGAGTAATTATGCATGTAGTCATCTCTTGATTCACACGGCTTACTAAAATGATACGGAGTAAGAAATAGTAACAAATGATGCATGGGCACAAGTTTTTTAGAAATGTGTATGTAAAATTTGATTAACAAGTATTATTATTTATTAATATTAGTCAAGTTAAGTGGAATGGAGTGGGTATTATTGTCCCGTGCATCGTACGGGTATAATACTAGTATGTATAATTTATCAATTGTACTCAATAGCAATTAGATAATTGATAAATTGTACTCAATAGCAATTATTAAGAAGGTTGTACTTTATTATTAAGTAAGTAGATATTTTTTTGAAGTCTCTTAATTTTATGTATCATCCCCTCATAATTTTAGAATATCCGTTTTGTAGTGAAAAATTTAAGAGTTTTGCTAGGGGAACACAAAATGTGTACACATTTTGTGTACCTCAAGCATTTTTCAAAATCCAATAGTGAACAATCATGTGACTCGTTTTCCTTTCAAAAAAGAAACAAACCTTCTTCCATCCAAACTCACCAGTTCGTTTTTTTAATGATAATCTGTGAATCTTTTCTATACACCACTTTCATTTTTCATAAATCTTCATCTTCAGCCGTATATATGATTTCTAATTCGGTTATCTATAAATATATTATGCAACAACAGCTTTCTGTATTAAAACAACTCCTTTTTCATTTACTCTGTAGAATAAAAATATTGTAGCTAGATAATACCATTGACATCTTGTGATTTTGACTTTTATCGCATATCACCTATGAATTTTTGGATTTAATTACTTCACATGCGCCCCTACTACTTTATTGAAATCATCACTTACACCAGTTTACATTTAATTCTCCATAATAATTAATAATAATACGGAATAACTAATAAGAAGGGATATTGACGACCATTTAATTAAGTTTCATGTTTTCAAAAAGGGATATTGACCACCTTTATTATACTCACTACACCCCAACAATAACGATGATGATGATAATAAATGAAAAATATATGATGTTAAAACAATTTCAAAACATTAATAGTAAATTATTCGAGTTTTCTAAATCTTTTCATACATATTAGACCGACTGTTATCAATTTTGAAGATGGACTCTCACAAAAAAACAACAACTACAATTTTATTTTGTAGGATAGAGAAAGATAATGAGGAAGTAAATTTTTAGTTATATTTCTAGGTTTATGTAATAATTTTGTGTTTCTTTGGTCTCACAGAGTTTAATAATGAAAAAATAATTTGGTTTGCTATTATTTTCTAAGAATTTGGATTCTAAGGATTACTCCGTATATTATTGTGCATGCTGCTAATATAAAGCCTCCAACATTTTTTTTGAAAAGAATATAAAGCCTCCAACGAGTAGTTTTTTTAATTCTTTTCATTTGAAATTGTTTCAGTTTTTCCATCATTTACAATGGAGCCAAAGATTCAATATTTTTTGGCTTGAGAATATGATGAAATAAAGCAAAATGGCTCACTAAACTGTCTGCGTTTCATTGTTATGAAGCAGCAGTCAGTCCATGCAATTTTGGTCACAATTTTTCACTATGGGTCATCCGGAAACAGTCTCTCTGTGCTTTAGTACAAGGGTAAGACTGCGTACATCCGACCCCCCCTACCCCGCCGTAGGTGGGAGCCTTTGCGGCACTGGGGTAAATGAAAATGAATGGATGGATTTGAAATTGTTTCAGCCTGAAATCTACTCAAGCCAAGTAAAATAAACTAGTCTTTTATCCGTGAGTTGCACGAGGTGAAAAATTAACAAATCACCTAAAAAATTGTCTAGTAATTCCAAGGCTTATGCACGTTCACTTAAATTATTTCTATTGATAACTTAATTATCAAAATTCACTCTTGATCATGAAAAAGCAACTGTGGCAGAAACGAATGAGGCTGGCCTTCTCCCAACAAAAGACTGATCATAACTTGGCCAAATATGACGGTCAGCTGCCCAAAATTAAATAAAATTATAGTCTTTCTATTAAAAAAGGCTTGCTCAACGAAGCAAGTGCCCAGACTCCTACTAATAGCTATTACAATTGATCATTCATGCACATTGTGCAATCCCCATAAATAGCACCCGATATACATATTTCATCATGCACATGATAGCACACCGATTCAAGAATCCAAAATAGCATATACTACGTATAAGATAGTTGAGGACTTTTTCTGGTATAGAAAAACCATGAAGAACATTTATAACAATGAATACAAATTTGGTAACAATATTGACATCAAGTTTCCAAGTAATAAAACAAAATGAATGAATGCAAAGAAAACAATTTGCCTCTATAAAATACCAAAACACTGTTAGGTGAGCCGTGAGCATAATATCTTAGTACGTTTTGCATGAAGCTCCTATGATGATTTCAGCTGATTGAAGAAATAAAACTTATCGGATCAAGTGAAGAAAAGATGTAGATGCATATGGTATAAAAGATATATACTAGTTAATTTGTTATTATCCTTACTTAATAATCTTTAGCTAATGTTTATCTAGATATAACCGTATGTATATATCTGTTGTAACCAATCTGATAGAGTTAGACTGTAACTCTACTTCTAGTCTTATAAATACTGATGTAATACGTAGCTTTACAATAATAAGAATACACATTCTTTACATGGTATTCAGAGCCTTGTAGAATTCTTCTCTACATTTTTTTTTTCTCCGTCTCCTCCTCATGGAGATCACACAAGCTACCACTCTTGTTCAACTCAACGCCCCAACGAACTTTCCCATCAAGTTATCTGCAACCAACTTTCCGGTATGGCGCTGGCAAATTGAAGCCACTCTCATCGGGTTTGATCTTCTTCCATACATCGATGGTTCTCTTATTGTTCCGTCTCAGTTCAACGATGATGCCAAGAAGGTTCCAAATCCATGCTATTCCACGTGGTTCCGCCAGAATCAGATCCTTATTAGCGCGCTTCTTGGGGGCTGCACCGAACCTGTTCAACCCCTTCTCTCGGCCGTTACCACCGCAAAGGAGGCCTGGGATGTTCTTCTCACCAGTTATGCAAATGCCTCTCCCGGTCGTATTCTTGCACTCAAAAGCAAACTCTCTCGTAATCCCCGTGGCAACAGATCCATTCCGGCTTACTTGAAAGACATGCAAGAGATTGCCGGTGATTTGGCATTGGCGAAAAATCCTGTTTCTGACACTGATTTGCAGATATTTATTCTCAATCAGTTAGGAGATGATTACCGATCTATTATCAGTGCACTCCGGGTACGTAATACACCCACATCCATGCTTGAACTTTCAGAGATTCTCACGGATCATGAACGTTTACTCAAAGATTCTGAAGATGATGGACCCTCTTTTCTGCCTACCGCTAATATTACTCAACGTCAGCCTTCATTTGGGTCTGCTTTATCTGATTTCCGCAAGCGAGATCACCTCTCTGGGCATCGCAGCAACTCCGGACACCGTCCGACTCAGTGATCTCTCTCCACAATAAGAAGGAAAAAATTCCACAGAAGGAAAAAATCAAGTTTCTGTGGAATTTTTTCCTTCTTATTTTGTTGTGAAGGACCAAAAAACCGGCACTCACATCATGAGGGGTAGAAATGTCAACGGTGTTTATTATGCTCCCACCACTGTTGGTTCACCTACTGTCACGCCCCGGACCTACCGGACACGTCAACAACCCGCCGTACAGTACGAATAGTCAACCGCAGTCCAACTCATCCATACTATACTAGGCGTCTTGAATATCATTCACAATAGTGCATCCATAAACAAACATAATGTAAAGTAATCATTTAAATCAGCGGAAACGTTTAATGCAAGTGTTTATGCCACACTCCGGCAAACATGGGCGTACAAGCCCCAAATAATTATTCAAAATAATATCCATGAGCATTAATTTAATGTTTTAAAAATAGAACGGAGGAAGCACGAACCACGTCTTCTCTCCCTGAGCTCCCCGAAGCAACGGGCGATGGTAGCAAGCTTTACTCCCTACCTGAAACTGTGAGGTGGCCTCCCCCGTGAAGGGAGGTCAGTACTTGGAAGCATTTGACAAGTACAATGACAACTATACTAAGTATAATCAACGTTTTAATTTCTAAGACCCTCAAAATAGGGTGATATCATAATATAAATAATAATTTATATTTCCCACTTATTATTTCTATAATAAGTAAATTTATTTATTTGTCGGCACACGGCCCATTTCATATATTTCGTTATACCCGTCGTTAGCACGACACCGCCCGTAGGTCTTATCATCCTTTACGAGACTTGTCACCGCTCTCCGAGGCCTCACCGGGCTCTCGGGCCGGAGTCCAACATCCCGCCCCTGAACTCATACCCATCGTCCCGTAGGAAGGTAAGGTCCATTCGGGGTCCTATCTTATGTGTTACCGCTGTCGGGAGCCTCGTAAGGTCTCCGGTTCGGATTCCACCCTAACCCGTGATCACGATGTAAGTCCATGCTATCCAACCCCGCTCTCTAGAGTCGGGAAGGGCCATGGTCCTTACTAATTTCCAATACTCTATCGGCTAATCCTTAAAGACTACCGAATACACCCGTAGGCCAATCCTATTCCTAGGATCAATTTATTATTCTCTTTATCTTGGGTGTCCCTTAAGGCCTACCCCTAGCATCACTTATCCACCTTAGTATCTCTTAAGACTACTTAAGGCTCAACAATTTACAATCCAAACCTTGGATCAATTCTAACATATTTCATTTCAAAACCCCGACTAGTATCATAATACTAGTCGGATAAATTCCAACAACTCATTTTCAATTCATAGTCATATAGACAACTTTCAAACTAATTTTCCATTGAAAATATAGTTCATATCAATATACAAAATATAACCTTTAATCACTCATATATCCTTATATGAAGTTAAAGTTATATTTCAACACAATATTTATAATTAATCCCTTCATCAAGCCAATATGCTCATATTACATAATCATACACAATTTACCCTTAAATTTGTATATTATGCTCCTTTATTCATTGACAACAATATTTTCATTTAGGCATTATTAATCATTAATAATCCATGAAAATCACATTTAATTACTTTAGGTAATCCTACGAAATTAACCCAAAGATTATAAACAACATAGTCAGCCATCCTCACCTTATGAAGTGCTGGATTAGTTGCCTTTGATAAGCCCTTTGATCAATCCCCGTTCTAAACCGATCAAAAGCTAAATCTGGTCTGCCTGGACAAAAGCCGGCCGGCTTTGGCAAAAGCCGGGCGATGTTCGTCAGTCTGCTGCGCAGGCAGCTTCTCCTTCTTGGCGGTTTCCGGTGGTTTCAACTCCTATCGATTCCACGACTCTTCTAAGTTAAATACCACCACTTTATAACAATATTCTACACTTTTAAACGTGTAAAAACTCATGTTTAATCCATCGTATGATTTCTTAAAAATCATACACTATAAAACTAGTTAAAAGAACTATTTGTGTTCTTACCTCCAATCCTAGCTCTCTTTCCTTGGATTTTCTTCTTCCTAGCTTTCTCCAACTATGGATTGGTGTTTGTGGAAGTCAACCCCAGAGCTTCTCTTTCTCCTGTGGTTATGCTTGTGCGGATGAGGCTAGAGCAAGGATGATAGGAATGGCATGTGCATGGGGTCATGGTGTGTAGGCTTTGTCCCTAGGAGGTTTCCTCCTTGATTTGTCCGCACAACCCATTCCCAATTGCCCCATCCAGCTCTCATTCAGCCCATTTGTACATATAAAAATGTGGGGTGGCCCCCACTCATGTGGGAGGTCATCCCATTATGTCCCGGTGTGTACAACCGGCCCCGAAAGTTGTATTTCTCGGACTGTTTTAACTATATTTTATTTTATCGGGCCAAATAAAATATATCACGCGTTCCTCATAATCATGGGCCTTTAGAGAAGATGTATGTTCCCCAACATTAATTTTGGAGTCCCCGAAATTCATTTCGGGCCGTTATCTGATAAATTACCAATACCGATACTTGGGCCTCGTTTGACCAACAGGTCAACTCCATGCCCTTTCCATGGCCCATCTAAATATTTGGGAGTCCATTCCCATTATTAGGGACCCAATAAATAATTTAATTAATCGCACATTAATTAAATATACCAATTCCATTACACGATTTTATTCGCTAGGAAATTCAAATACATATCCAATTCCAAATTCAAGTACATCCGGGTGCGGTGTCACAAGTTCACCCCCCCTTAACGGGAATTTCGTCCCCGAAATTCACAAATGATCATTCAAAAAGAAATGCATATTGTTCCTTCATTAAAGCCTCCGTTTCCCAAGTTTCTTCTTCGACTCGGTCACTTTTCCAAAGGATTTTCACCATTGGAACTTTCTTGCTTCTTAGTTTCTTTACTTGCCTATCAAGTATCCTCACCGGCCGTACGACATAGTTTAAGTCTTCACGTATTTCCACGGGTGGCTTCTCTAACACGTGAGACGGATCCAGCACGTATTTCTTAAGCATAGACACGTGGAACACGTTATGTATCTTCTCCAATTCTGGAGTCAACTGCAATCGGTATGTTACGGCCCCAATTCTTTCAAGAATCACAAATGGCCCTATGTAGCGTGGGTTAAGTTTCCCTCGGCTTTGAAATCGGATGATTCCTTTCCAAGGTGAAACTTTCAAGAATACCTCATCTCCCACCTTAAACTCTAAGGCCCTCCGACGCTTATCGGCATAGCTCTTCTGTCTATCCTGGGCCGCCTTAAGCCTTTCGCGAATCATCTTCACTTTAGACTTGGTGATCTCCACCAATTCTGTGCTCTCGAGTTTGGCCATGCCAACCTCATCCCAACACAAAGGTGTACGACATCTCCTCCCATACAATGCCTCGTATGGAGGCATGCCAATACTCGCCTGATAACTGTTGTTATAGGCAAACTCCACGAGTGCTAAATGGTTGTCCCAACTCCCTTGGAACTCCAATGCACAAGCTCTCAACATATCCTCCAAAATCTGTATAACTCTCTCGGATTGTCCATCCGTCTGTGGATGAAAAGCAGTGCTGAATTTCAATTTCGTTCCCATAGACTCTTGGAACTTCGGCCAAAATCGTGATGTGAATCGTGGATCCCTGTCGGACACAATGGTTATAGGAACCCCATGTAGCCTCACGATCTCATCCACATACAGTTTGGCTAACCTCTCAAGTGCATAGGTAGTGTTGATAGGTAGAAAATGTGCACTCTTCGTGAGCCTATCAACCACAACCCATACAGCATCATAATTCCTCACGGTCCGTGGCAGTCCTACCACAAAATCCATGGTCACGTGCTCCCATTTCCATTCTGGAATGGAAAGTGGCTGCAATAACCCAGCTGGATGTTGATGTTCTGCCTTAACTTGCTGGCAAGTAAGGCATTTACTGATGTACTCGGCTATTTCTCTCTTCATACCAGACCACCAGTAACTTTCTTTCAGATCACGGTACATTTTCGTACCTCCCGGGTGCATAGCATACGCCGATGAATGAGCCTCCTCTAAGATGGACTTTCGGAGCCCCTCATCCGATGGTACACACACTCGGTCACGAAATAGTAAGAGACCATCATCTCTTTCCCTGAAGTCCTCCACTGGTCCCGCTTGCATGCGTTCCCGTATCCTCATGATTTCCTCGTCAGTTTCCTGACCCTTCTTGATCTCGTCAAGCAAAGTAGGTCTCACCTCAAATCGTGCCAATAAGGCTCCATTACTGGATACCTCCAGTTGGGCTCTTAAAGCCCTCAAGTTAGCTATCAATGCCCCAGATGAGCTCTTCCGGCTCAAGGCATCTGCCACCACATTGGCTTTACCGGGGTGGTACTCAATGATAAGATGGTAGTCTTTTATCAACTCCATCCATCGCCTCTGTCTCATGTTCAACTCTTTCTGAGTGAACACGTATTTCAAGCTCTTATGGTCAGTGTATATATGACATGTCTCCCCGTAGAGATAATGTCTCCAAATCTTCAGTGCAAACACCACTGCCCCGAGCTCCAAATCATGAGTAGGATAATTTACCTCATGTTTCTTCAATTGTCGTGAAGCATAGGCAATTACCCTCCCCATTTGCATCAACACACATCCAAACCCTTGGATGCTGGCATCACTATAGACATCGTACCCCATACCCTGTTTGGGCAAGGCAAGTACCGGTGCCTCGGTCAATCTCTTCTTCAGTTCAAGGAATCCTTTCTCACATTTGTCATCCCATACAAACTTAGCTCCCTTTCGAGTGAGCTTTGTCAATGGCGACGCCAAAACAGAGAACTTCTCCACGAACTTTCTGTAGTAGCCTGCTAACCCAAGAAAACTACGAATTTCCTTGACGTTCTTTGGCCTCTCCCATTCGGTGATGGCTTCTATCTTCTTGTTATCCACCGCAATTCCCGATCCCGAAACCACATGCCCGAGAAAGCCAATCTCCTTAAGCCAAAATTCACATTTAGAAAATTTGGCATAGAGTTGCTTCTCCCGTAGTGTCTCGAGAACAAGTATCAAGTGCTCCTCATGCTCTTCTTCACTCTTTGAGTAAATCAAGATGTCATCTATGAACGCAATCACGAATCGGTCCAAGTATTTATGGAATACTCGGTTCATCAAGTCCATGAATGCCGCGGGGGCGTTGGTTAACCCAAATGACATAACAAGGAATTCAAAATGCCCATACCTTGTGCGGAAAGCACTTTTTGGTATGTCATCTTCCTTGATCTTCAATTGATGGTACCCCCGACCTCAAGTCAATCTTTGAAAATACAGTTGCTCCTCGGAGTTGATCAAACAAGTCATCAATCCTAGGCAAGGGATACCTATTCTTGATTGTGACCTTGTTCA